GCTGCAATCGACAAAACAGGATGGACGAACTCCGTTCGTCGGATTACCTTATAAGCACACATAGAAAGAGGAGAGAGAGAACACAAGATATGAAAACTTTCTTACTTCTAACTGACTGAAGGGTTTTCTCTCTCATCAGACTCCTGCTCTGTAGGTTGATTTGCATATGAAGCATCTTTGCATCTAGTTACCGCGCATTATGCGTCGACCTGCTTGGACGTTTTGTCTGGGGCAACTGAAGCCCAAATGCGGATCCTGGCTACCTCGCTCTGCTCAGATTGTAGCTCTTTCTAATGCACCAGCTGCTTTTCCTCTGCTTGTTCGGGCTTCTAGACTCACTGATAAGAATAAGACACAATGGTCACGTCCCTTCCTTGACTCCGGGCGACAAGAACACTTCTCCTGTCATCAGACTTCCTGCTCGTAGGGAAAAACTGCCTTAGGACAAGTTCTTCGTCTGTGTCACCTTCTTCATTTCTCCCGCTAGTACCGTAACCAGACCTCTTACGGCCCCAGCGTAATATTTACTTCTCTAACAATTCGCAACTGGAGGACAAAAGCAACTTTCCTTTTAATACCGTTGGTTAGTTACGTAAACCTGCTTCTCCTCCCGTCTCACCATGGTCTCGAGCATTTGCTCGTAAATCACGCGGACTCCTACCGACAAAAAACGAATAAGGTACTAAATAATCTCTCCATCATAACTATATCAACAATACTGCACAATGACACTCAGTTGTTACAGAGATCAATGGCCTACCGGGGCAATCTAGGCGACTTGACGAGTATCATTTTTTAACAATCTGCTCTACAAATAGCATGAACCTACCTTAAATACATTAATGGCGATATTACGTACTTATCTCACTCTCACTTCGTCATCGTTGCGGGACTATAACTGAGACAGCTTCAGTGGCGGATTCCATAACCTTCTGACAGTGTCAAAACAAATATGACTATGACTGATCGGATTTCCAATAGAACTTCAGGCTATTCACAGAGACTCCTAAATGCCGTACCGAGTCGGATCATAGTGTAAACTCATCTGGCTGCAGTACAATTTTATAACTAGTGTATACATATGAGAAAAGTTGAAATGCTTGTCAGACAGAATTCAACTTGGAACCATAAACCCTGAATCCCGCCCACAACTTGGAAATGGCCAATAACGAAAATCTTTATTCAGTTAACGAACTTACGGATCACTTTGACATCGTACTCGACCAAGCAACAATCAAGAAAGGTCACTAACTGCTTTACTCAGCTCTCGTATGCTCGTCTCTACTACGTTCACCAGGTCTATATTCACTACTTAACATACCAGTTATCCGCTCGTTAATACAAAACGTTCAATTTCCTCCCCCCTCGGTACGGGATCATGCGTCTCATCCGTAGTGACATGCCATGACCTCTCCTGTCACTTAAGCCTCGACGGGTAATCAGGCTAACCATCCTGACATCGTAGCGGTTACCGTACTAGGCATACACAAATGACGTCTCGTGTATTTCTTATACTGACTCCGCACATCGACGAATTTTCGTCGCCTCACTGTCATTAACCCGGAGTATGAGTACTAGAGTAAAACTTTCAGATTACCTAGATGTTTTGGAGAGAAAATATAAGTCTACCACCCGCTCGTAGAGGGGACACAAAGACATACACATTACTAGAACCGACGTCATTACAGCTTCGGATCAGCAAATAAAACTGCTAGATATACTTATAATAACTCTCCGCACACCGCTTGACTTCCACACTCGTTATCAACTATATTGAATAGGGCTTGCCAACATCGAGAGCTATTCCAGTCTAGTATTATAAAGCATTTAACAAAGGCAGCTGAGAAATAAAACTCCTCACATTTCATCATTATAGAACCGAACAGAAAAACCTCTGAGAGATGATGGAAGAGAGATAGATATAAATTGTAATGAATACACCACTTGTGCTATTCGGTCTATATTTCTACCTAGGATCAAGACAACAGAAGCTTAGAGTATAAAGTTCATAAACACCGATGGAGTGGTTGCAAAGGAGCTAGAAATAGTGGATTGTGCTTGCGACATCGAGCTAGAAGAAATATCGAATTTCTCACTGACCAGTCCTTATCTACGAGACAACATAATACTAACAATACGCAAAGGATAGAGATAGGTAATGAGGAACTAAACTGTAGAAGAGGGATGCATTAGCCAGCAGATTCCATACTAATCTTTCCTCAATAATACCTCCGTTTACCTTTGGGGAACAGAATTGAAGTAAATACCAATCGAGAACGTGAAGCTCTATCTCTGAAATCACTCTAATCTCTTGTGTCTTCGCATCACTGAGTTCTAAGAGCGTAGAATTCAAAAGCTATTCGTCAATTTAAAAGAAACAAGGATTTACGCCATTTGGTCAAAACTTGCAGCCACACACAACATTATCTATATAGAATCGATTGCTTCGACGATTGCAAGCAACCTGTGAAGAGTTAGAATTATATTTGAGAATCCCAATCCGAATCGAGTGGTGGAGTCAAGGGGGAGAGTTTTGAGAATGCGTTCGCAGCACAAGACAGCGAACAGAAATTAGATTTAGGTTTAAAAATGACTGTGCGATAGTCTTGCGACTTCGAAACACTAGTCTCAGTTGGCCAGTAAAAGAGATACCTTAACAAACGGAAGATAGTCATGAAACTGTGGTGCCTGGGTACGAAAATACACAGACTCGGACAAATTGCGTCCCGCACCGCGATCCGCGGCCCCTTCATGATCTAAGTTTTCTCAGTCGACGGCCGTGAAGGAGAGTTTTATTAGCGAACCAAGTAAGTTCCTGCTTGAGCAGGCAATTGTCTCAAGAGCAAGCAATTGAGATAGTTTAACATAGAGAAGCAATAACGTCACGGAGGATTTGCATAGTTCAAGTCACTCCGTCCTGACTTCAGCAGGAGGGCTTTTATGACTGGAGTTCAAGAGGTTTCCGATAGAGTCGCAGAGCCCGTCGGAGTTAATGATCCAGCTTCCCCGTTGCCTACTGACGAGAGAGAACTTCATTTAAGACCAGGTAGAAGCGTCCGGCGACGGAGAAGCAGAGTTATACGGTGAGTATAGCTTCGCACATTAACAGATGCAGACAGCGGAGTTATGAAGTGTACACATTAATAGAAACGAAATTAAGAACGTCAGCAGTTAGTCGTACTTACAGGAGGATCCTCGGCGAAACAGGGGAGAGCACGAGTAGAGCCGCATCCCCAAGGATTTCTCGATGAGCGTGTCCCTTGTAGCGCAGGTCATACATGGGAGCATCTGAGTCTTTACAGCTGCTAAGTATCGCCGCGAAGCGAGAGAGGTTTATCGACCCAACTTGACAGAAGGTCCTTCAGCAGCCATAGGTTCTTATCATCCGAGGGTACCGCGAGAATCTACGTAACGACCTCGGCGGATAGTGAAAAGATGAAGTCTCTCGAAGAAGATAAAATGAGTGAACGTAATATCATTGAATCTACGACAAAAGCAGGCTTTTGGTGCGGCCGTCGGAGAGTATCAGAACTTACGGGTTGTTTAGGAAGTCTGGCTTATTACATACCAATATTCTTTGGTGTTGGGCAACTATAAGCGTGCTCCTGTGACCGTCAAGCGTAGGGTTTTCCCTACGCGCAGGGAGTTGATGACAGGGAGAGATCGTGTCGTCGGGTAGGGTCGCTTAACGAGCAGCAAGTCCGACCGACCGGGGCGAAAAGTACAACGTCGGGTAGGATCTGCTAACGGAGCAGAAGTCCGACGATGCGTAGGAGTTTTCCTACGAGCAGGAGTCTGATGACAGGGAGAAGTCTGTCGTCGGGTAGGAGTCCGCTAACGAGCAGAAGTCCGACGACGGGGAGAAGTACAACGTCGGGTAGGAGTCTGCTAACGAGCAAAAGTCCGACGATGCGTAGAAGTCTTCCTACAAGCAGGAGTCTGATGACAGGGAGAAGTCCGTCGTTGGGTAGAAGTTCAACGTTGCATAGAAGACCGACGAAGATTCGTCGGTGAGCGGAAGTCCGACGACGAGTAGAAGTCTGCTGGCGAGCAGAAGTCCGACGATGCGTAGGAGTCTTCCTACGAGCAGGAGTCTGACGACAGGGAGGAGTCCGATGTCGGGTAGAAGTTCAACTTCGGGTAGAAGACCGACGAAGATTCGTCGACGAGCAGAAGTCCGACGACGAGTAGAAGTCTGACGTCGAGTAGAAGTCCGCTGACGAGCAGAAGTCCGACGTCGAGTAGAAGTTCAACGTCGGGTAGAAGACCGACGAAAATTTGTCGACGAGCAGAAGTCTGACATCGAGTAGAAGTCCGTTGACGAGCAGAAGTCTGACGACAGGAAGAAGTCCGACGTCGGGTAGAAGTCCTCTCCGAGGTTGTATGTCAAAACCTTTGTTTGATGACATTAACCTGTGTGGAAGAGGTCGAGAGAATCCACCAAGGATGTAAGACCTATCCGAGGTTGTATGTCAGAACATTTGTTCGATGACATTAACCTGTGTGGAAGAGGTCGAGAGAATCCACCAAGGATGTAAGACCTATCCGAGGTTGTATGTCGGAGCCCTGCTCGACGACGTTAACCTGTGTGGATGAGGTCAGGAGAATCCACCAAGGATGTAAGACCTATCCGAGGTTGTATGTCGGAGCCCTGCTCGACGACGTTAACCTGTGTGGATGAGGCCAGGATCAAATCCCCCTGGGATTGATCGTCCGGTGATTGAGATACAATATGGATTGTGTATTTCTCGAATCACGGAGAAAGAGTTTGAGAAGTTTTTTCTTATCTTTCATAAGAGGAAAAATCATATCACAACAACATGAACATTATATTACTGCATTATGTAAGATAGTACAATAGTTCCCTAATACGACTTAGAAATTACAAAGTACTCAACACACAAGATCTATGCACGGTGACAATACGACAATATTTGAAAGAAGATATTAGAGATATCAAAGTGACACTCAACTCAACATAAAAGCGACAACAAGTAATATTTGCTAATACAAATACACGAAGTGCGTGATCATTCAATCTCTCCAACCATTTGAATAGTATTCAATGGTTGTCTTTGTTGTTGATTCTGCCCCCCAGTCGGACCAACTTCATCTCGGGTTGGTGTATTCTTGATGAATTGTCGGAGATATCCCTGTCGGATCAGTCTCTCAACTTCTTCCTTGAGCTGCCAACATGCTTCAGTAGTGTGCCCACGGCTACGGTGGAAGTGGCAATATTGCTCCTGGTTTCCGACATTGGGCTTCAAAGGGTGTGGCCATTTCACATTCTCCTGATCCCGGATGGCCATTAATACATTTGCTTGGGATGTATTAAGTGGTGTGTACTTCTTTTCTTGGTGAGGTTCTTGTCGTGGTGACGGAGACCTATGAGGTAGATTATTCTT